TTAAATAATAAAATGGCGGGAAGCGGAAACGAAAACGGAAAACGTGCGTTTAGAAATTTTGTTTCCGGAGAAGATCGCGGCCATTTTGTTTGTTTTGAAGGAGGAAGGTGAAAGTGAGATGAAAAGAAAAATGGCGATCGAGAGAGAAGAGGAAGAGGGGGGCCAGAGCCTTAAACTGTTGTTGTTGTTGCTGCTGCGGTTGTTTTTGACGAAAAGAAATAAAAAATTCAAGAAATTATTTCGTACGGAGAGGAGGGACGACATTTTTTTAAAAAAAAATTTTTCACAGGTTGGAATTTTTTTGAAAAGGGTTCAAAGTTCAAATTTTGTTTTTGTATGAAAATTTTTGCGGGATTTAAATTTAATAGAAAGTGTTTTCTTTTTTTTTTTTAATCTTATTTCAACGAAAATGAGGTTTTTGCGGTTTCTACATAGAATAAATATCAAGCGGTGGTGGTGGTGGTAGAGCCAGTCAAAAAATAAACTAACATAATATAAGAAAATAGTAAAACGTTACAAATTTCTTCTGCTTTTTTTCTTTTTCGGGGGGGGGGGCGGAAGACCGAGGGTAACCGAAAACGTTTAAATAAAAAGCGAGTGAAATGCGTAAACAAGAGGAAAAATTAATAAAATTTAATATTTTATTTATTTATTGTTGTTAAGCGAATCGTATTATCCGCCACCGACACCACCTCCTCCCACACCCCGCCTCCGCCATTTTCAATCTGATTTTTTTTTTCTGCTTATTCTCAAAACACCACAAACCAAATTTAAATAAAAAAAAATTTTTTTTTAATCGATGAGGGAAATTGATAGTAATTTATTAATTTAGAGGGGGGTGGGGGAAAAAGCAGAAGACGTTTTATCCTTATCATCATTATCATTAAACATTTTATTTATTTATTAGTATTTAAAAAATGATTAAAAAATTTCAATAAAATCCCATCGACCATAAAAAAAAAAAAAAAAAAAAAAGTTTTAATTAACCTTTTTTTTTTCCTTTTTTTTGGGGCGATTCGTAAATGATGGGGGGGAGTGGGGGGTGAAAAGAGAGAGAGAATTTCCAATAATTCGTCGATATTAATTTTATTATTAATGATCGGTGTTGGTCCTTTTTTTTTTCTCTCCATAAAAAAAATTTAATTAAATATAAAATGAAACTTTTGCATTTAAAAAAAAAAAAAAAAATCTTTCGCCCCGAGTTTATTAATTTAAAAAAAAAGTGAGAGAGAGAGAGAGAAAAATAAAGAAATTTCATAGTGTCACGATGATGATAATGATGATGATTTAACACGATCGTAAAAATAAAAAAATAAAAAAAAAATTTTACTTAAATGAAAAAAAAAAATGGTTTATGTAAGTTGTTGTAGGCACGAAGGTTATCAGGTTGATTTTTTTTTTTTTTTGTTAAACGTCTCGCCATTATGGTGCCGTCGTCCAGTAATCGGCGTCTTTTCTTTTTTTTTTTCATTAAAATTTGTTTTTTTTCTTTTTGTTACCTTTTTTACTTTGTTTCTCGACTAAAGGAAAATTCTTTTTCGAGATAAAGAAAATTTTAAGGGGAAAAGTAAAAGTAGATTTAAATGAGTTTAAAAAATGAAACAAACCTCCTGCCCTGTTGAATCATGAAGGAAAAATGATAAAAATAAACGTTTCTCATTGGTCGGAATTTTTCAATTCTTTAACATCAAAAGCATCGTCGATATGTATGTGTTAGTGATATTAATAATAATCATGATGATGATGATTAGAGTAAGAAAATACTAAAAAGAAAAGAAAAAGTCGGAGAAAGATTTATTTTTGCGTGAAATAATTTATAAATTAACCAAAAGTCCTCCTCCTTCTCCTTCTATTCCTCATCCTCCTTTTCCTCCTTCTTCTTCTACTCCTCCTACTTCTTTCCCTTTTCCTTCTACTTTTCCTCCTTCTTCTATATCTCCTTCTCTTCTTTTTCCTTATTCTCCTCTTCCTCCTCTTTCTTCTCCTTCTCCTTATTCTCCTTTTCCTTCTCCTTTTTCTCCTTCTTCTTCTCCTCCTCCTATTCCTACTTTTCACCCATTTTCATTTTTTTCTATTAAATTTTTTTCCTGGTAAATTTTTTTTAACGTTATTAATCATTGGAAATAATGACGTCAGCAACAACAACAACAACTACCACTACTCCCACTGAATTTAACCAGTAAAAAAAAAAGGCTAAATTTACTTTCTCTCTCTCTCTCTCTCTCTCTCCCTCTCTCTTTTTTTCTAGCTTTTTTTGTAGATCCCGAATAATTTTATTATTATTATTATTTTACTTTTTTTTGTACTAATAAACTTTTATTGTTTAAAATAAAATAAAAAAATTTTTTTTTATAAAAAAAAAAGGTTAAGGGAACATTTTTTCGTTTTTTTTTTTTTTTCGTTTGATATTTTAAAATGTTTTGTTTTGTTTGTTTTGTTTTTGTTTTTTTTTTTTTTTTAATTTAAACGCGCGTTGTCGTTTGTTTTTTTGTTTGTTTTCGACTTAAAAATTTTTTCTATACGTGATAGACGACCTAAATAATTTGTTTCTGTTGTTCCTGTTCCTGTTTTTAAACAAAAACCGGTGTTAAATATTTCGAAGCCGTAGTAAAAAGAAAAAAAAAATTCCGTGCTCTATAAACTTTATTATAATCAATTTAAAAAAATTTTTTTCGTCGTCATAAAGAAAAAAAACATTAAAGTTGGCAACACTTAAATCATACCCAACGTTAAGCCCCCCAGTCACCCCCCCTTCGAGTAACAATTTCGGATAAACTCCTGAAGGAAAGAAAAAAAGGTAAAAAATTTTTCCAAAGTAAAAAAACGCCAAAAGGATTTCAATGGGAAAAAATTTTTAGAAAATGTGATAAAAGACTATGAAAAATATCATAATAATAATAATAATAACAATAATAGTGATGATAATATAAATAATAATAATAATAATAATAATAATAATAATAATAATAATGATAATGATAATAAAATCGTAAAGAAAGAACGAAAAAAAAAAATTTTTTTACCGGCAAAAAAAAAATAAATAAATTTTTTTATCATTATTATCATCATTATTATTACGTTTTTATCATTCAATATATATAATAAGAAAATATAAATAATAATAATAATAATGATGATGATGATGATGATGATGATGATGATATTAAAGTGATATTTCTTTTTATGCGTGTATATTGCGTAATATATTTTATGTTTGTGGTGGTGGTGGTGGTAGTGGGGGTGGTAATAATAACAACCATCAATTTTTTTTTTTTTTTTTTTCACGTTCTTATACAAATAACATGTAATTTACATTAAAATAATAAAAAAAATTTATTTTCTCTATGATTTACATTTCTATATTTACTTTGCATTACAAATGTGTTTTACCTAGGGGAAAAAAAAATTTTTACGCCGCGTTTTTTTTTTTTTTTTTAAATGTATTGTTATGTCGTTTGTAGCGTTGTTGTTGTTCTGGCTGTTGTTGTTAAATTATTCTTAAAAAGTCTTTAAAATTAAATAAATTTTAAAAAAAATATATATGCTATGCTTATTTTAAATCTCTTCCTCACTCTCTCTCTCTCTTCTCTCTTCTACTCCCTTTTTTCATTCGTGGATTGGATTTTCTTTTAAAAATTTTCATTTAGTCAATATTATTATTATTGTTTAGGGTGAGGTTTGTGAGGATTGATTATAGCATAGACGTATTTTGTTGTTTGTAATATTAATTTTTTCATAAAAGAAAATAATACGATAATAATTTGTCGTCTGCTTTTTTAGTTGTTTAATTACATAAAATTTGTGGCACGCGTAAAGAATAAGAGTGAAGGGAGGGGAGGGGAAAAAAAGAAAAGTTTGTTTGTAAAGTTATAAAAATGTCAAAATCAGAATATCGATAATAATTTTACCTTTTTTTTTCTTTTTTTAAAAGGTCAGGAAAATTTAAAATGTCAGACATTTTAGACTAGAAATTAAAAAAAAAAAAAAATGGCGGATAAATATATTTTTTTACCGATACGTTTTTTTGTTAAATGTCGTGACTCGTCATTTTGAAAAAAAAAAAAGAAAACAATAAGGTTTAAGTTTTTTTTTTTCATTTAAAGCACGTTTTCCAAAGATTTTTTTCCAGTTTTTTTCTTTCGTCCATTTTGTGTTTTTTTTTTTGTTTTTGTTTCGCACACTTACTTAAACCCGACACGTGGAAAAAAAAAAACCTTTTGGAAAGATTAAAAAGAAAATTTGAACGGTTACAAATTAAGTGAAAAAAAAAAAAAAAAAAAAAACTTTTTTTCCTTTTTTTCTTTTTTTCTTTTTTTCTCTCCCACTCTTTTCTTTGTCCTTGGTTCCTTTTATTTTTCTTTTCTTTTCTTTTTTTTACTTTTTTGATATTTAATTTTTTTTTTTTTTTTTTATAATTAATTCAATTCAATTTAAAAAAAAAAAAAAAAATTTTATAAATAAACGAGTAAAATGAAAAAACGTTGTTTGGTTTTTTTTTTTTTTTTTTTTAAATTTAGAAAAACAAAATAAAAAATTTTAATTAAGTTAACGTTTTATATTCTTTCACTTTCTCTCTTTTGTTCTTTAGATAGCTATCGATAGAAATTTAATCGTTTAAAAAAAAAAAAAAACAGTTAAAAATTTCTTTAGAAAAATTCCAAAAAAAAGAAAATGTCGGCCTCTAATTTTATTTTTCTCATATAATTTTTGAGTTTTAAATAAATGCGATTATTTTAATTTATTCATTTGAATAAAAATATGCGTAATCGTACGTAAATATACCTAATTTACGGATTCGAAATTAAAATTACAAAATGGCGGTCAGGAAAAGCGTTTTTTTTTGGGGAGGAGGGCGAAATTGAATATCCGGAGTAATAAAGTCATCGAGTAATAATAATTTGCTACGATCAAACGATATAAAAAAATTTAAGTTGGACAACCTGTTTGTAAACTCTGTGCTGCCATCTGTATCAACGGTAAAACTTTGAACTAACGTTGAAATGAATAATTCAAACGGTAATTCGATTTATTCGCAAATTTACGAAGGAGAAAGCGATTTAATAGAAGTAAAAAATTATTTTGATGATTATTCGCGATCTCTTAGTTCATTCGTAGAACTTTCATCGTGCGAAAATGATAAATGTAAGGATTTTAACGATGGGAAAACTACTTGCGGTGAATCAAATTGTAAAAATGATGAAATATATAAAAAATTTTTAGAAATTACAAATGAAGAATTGGAAAAATTAAAAGAATCTACAAGGTAACGTAATAAATCCTCTTATTTTTTTTGGCATTTAAAATGATTAATGAAATATATAAATATTGTTTCAGTATTGATAATTTAAAATGTGATAACGAACCGGTTAACTGGAATTTAAAAAGTTCAAATGGTGATAAAACGACGACCATTGAAGAACCAAACAGTCAATTGGTTTCGGTTAATAAAAAACACGAAATGATTTATTTAACCAAAGTGCAACTTCGAAGACTGATGTACAAATATTGCAATTATGAATGGTACAAAAGCAAAAAAAAAATTATGAACAAACCAAGTTATGACACGCTTAAATTTCCAACAATATTATTTTCAATAAAAGTATATCATCCATTATTAAACACTCCACATAATTCAGGTCAAAATTTTAAAGTTAAACTCCTTCAGGAAATTCAAATACTAGGAGATCAAACACTTTCAGAATTTAAAGACAAAATCGTTTGTCCTCTCGATTACATGGCACTTAAAGATCTCAGCGATGATTGTTTTTTAGCTAATGTTGGATGCGAATATGATATTGCTAAGGTTTGAATTGTTGTTTTTCCTTTCCTTCCCCCCCCACCCTCATTCAAACTTAACAATACCAACATGATTATTTTTTTCAGAAAGAATATCCTTCATCGTTTATTTTCATCGAAGATGTTTTTTATGTCGATTCGAGAAATTCACAAATGATTGATTTAAGTAAAGAAATAAAAGAATGGGCAACTGGAAAACAATTGGGAACATTTCAAACTTCAAAAATGGAAACGACTACAATGTCTAGTTTAAATATTCGAGTGGGAAGACCATATGTTTATCAACACATGGGTAATTGCGAACATATTATAATGTTTTCAGATGTCAGATTGTTAGATTCGAAAGATCCAACAAGGAGAAGTGATTTTCCTAAAATTCATGGGCTAGGAAGAAATTATGGAAAACATTGCATGATGTGTTCTGATTTTTATGCAAAGTAATTTCAATTTGTTTGAAAAAATTGAAAAAAAAAAAAAAAAAAAGAAAAAAATAAATATTAATCGTTTTAATTTTTTTTTTTTTTCAGGTGGCTCGTTGTTGGAAACAAAAGGCTTACACATGATAAAACATTTTTATGTCATAATTGTTTTTTATCATATAATTACATAAACAAACAAAAAATTGGAGATTTTAAAGCTTATAAATATAAAGATTTAATAGCTTTGTTATAATCGGTTTAATAATTCACTTGTGTGGAAGCAGAAGAAGAAGAAGAAGAATTTATTTTTTTCTTTTGTGGTACATATTCTCCATTTGGATAACATTCAACTTTATGAGTTTGTATTATTTGATAATTGTTAAATAATTCTCCAAATTTTTCATTCATTATTTCATTTTTTTCTTTTTCGCATATTTTAAAATATTGTCCAACCATGTGAATTTTCGGATTAACTGAAATGAAAAAAATGATGAAAGAATTTAACAAATTTAATAATTAAAATTTAAAAAAAAAAAAAATTTTATTAAACTAACAACAAATTGGATTTCCAGGTCCTAATGCCGCAATTGGTATTTTACTTATTTTAAAATCCCAGGCTCCAGTTTCTTGATTAACGCATCCGCACATGTCATTTATGCACTGGAGGGGATCGTATTGTCCACTTGGTAAACATCTAACGGTCGGTAATGATATATCAGGATTTGATAGCAGACGACTCATAACTTTTTTGGCTTTGTACGTAAAATGTGAACATTCTAAATCACGTGGCAGGAGACAAAAAAAAAAAGTAAAAATATAAATAAAAAAAATAAGGAAAGGGAAATCGATAAATTGAATATTACCGCATTGTTTTTCGTTTAATGTATTTTCAGATTCTTGAAATTCTCCATAAATTTTTATAATTGAATTATTTTCAATAACAGCACAATGACATCTGATAATGTAGATAAAGAGAGAAAGAGAGAGAAAGAAAGAAAGAAATAAAAAAATTATTTTTCTTAATTTAACTAAATATAAAATTATTATTATCGATAATAAACTTACATTCCTTGATCGCATTCGTAACCGGGAAAAAAATCAGGATCTGGAATTTTCACTTTTCGAATCAACGTGAAAGAAAAAGAAAGAAAATTTATTATTTTTTTCTTATTGATAATTTAATTAATTTATTTACTCACTTTTTTTACAAATTCCTTCGACGCATTCTGTACCTGGACCACACATGTAAGCCGGTAAAGGTTCACCGGGATTTCCAATCATACAAAAATCTCCAGCATCTTTAAAAAAAAAAAAAAAAAATTAATTTTGATTTTAGAATAATTTAAAGAATGGGGAGAAAGGGAGAGGAAGAGATTTGAATTTTAATTCCAGGTACGGGAAAATAAGTAGGAAAATCTTACTAAATGCGATTGTTTTACGTCATTTTTAACTTCCGCTTTCACTTTAACTTCCGTTTTCACTTCCGCTTTTCCAACATTCATAAGACTCGAATCATTTTTTAAAGGACCTCGTTGTTGGCGATTTTTAATTCACGATATTAAAGGACATTAAGACGGGGGGGGGGGGCGGGAAGGGGAGAAATTGGAAAATATTTGAAAAATTTACAATAAGAGAGATTTGGCCATATTTGTAATAAAAATTTTTTTATGTGAAAGTTCAAATCGTACGTTTTATGACGTAAAATATAAAAAAGGAAAAAAGGAAAAATCGCAATAAAATTTTTTTATTTTCCTCGAAATTTAGTCTTGTCGACGCAATCGTTTATTATTATTATTATTATTATTATTATTATTATTGAAAAAAAAAATAAAATTACTTTGAAAAACGAAACAATGTTCGCAACAATTACAAACGGTCGGTGATGGTATAACGAAACTTTTTGATGAATTCGAACATGAGGAATCCATTACGGGGCACGGAGAACTTTGAAGATATTTCTAAAATACAAAAAAAAATTTTTTTTTTTTATGTCGATCCGATCGTTGTCTCTCTCATCGATCGATCGATCGATCGATTATATGAAACTAACATAGAATTTTCTAGAAAATTAAATAATAAACTCACCTCGCAAAATTCTTTCGTACATATTAAATCGTTATCGATTCCTTCACATATTTTTATTAATATAAAAATTATTAATAAATAATTAATAAAAAATTTTATTAACATTTTTTGTTTTTTTTCCCCCCTTTTTTTGTGTGTCGCGTTTGTTTGTTTGTTTGTCTTCGTTAAATTATCCCGATAATAATAATGATAATAACATAATTGCGTCAGTTCTTATCGATAAGATTATATTATCGATATTTATTTATTATTATTATTTTCACGCGATTATCGATTGTATGCAAAAAAAAAAAAAAAAAAATTTTGTTATTCGCGTTTGTTTTTTTGCTCATGAATCTCTTTTTTAATTATAGTGAGAAAACAACAAACGACAAACGACAACAAACAAAGGAAGAATAATCGAAGATGAAAATAAATTCGATTAAACGGATTACGATGAATTAAGGACGAGGTAAGTAAAACAAATAATTTCAATTTTTTTTGTTTGTTTGTTTTGTTTGTTTTATTAAATTTATTTTTTTTATAATTTTTTTTGTTTATAGTCTATAATATAGTTAGTCTCTCTCTCTATATTATTTAACATTAGCTATAATAATAATAGTTTTAATCTCATAATTGTTTGTGCTCGAACATCAAAAATTATAATATCGTAATAATAATAATAATACTAACTTATAGTAATTATAGTTCTATAATTGTTCTAATACTTTTATAGACTATATTTAAAAATCTCTCTCTCTTTCTCTCTCTCTTTAAAACTTTTCAAAAAGAACGATTCGGATTCGTGCAACTAATTTTATTTACTAAAAACGGTGATTATTATTATTATGTTGTTGTCGAAACAAACGCTTTCGTTGCTTATGACGATGATGATGATACTCGTAATGGCGAATTTTGTTTGTTTGTTTGTTTTTTTGTTATCATTATATGTATTTATAAAACATGATCCAGTAAGTTGCATTTAAAACGGCAAATAAAAGTGGAAAAAAAACTCTTGAAAATCTATCGATTCTAATCGCTCTATCTCTACTTCTAACCGTTTGTTTAGGTACGTTCGATTGCGTTGTTGCCGGATTTGTTATAAGTCTAGAATTTTCCTAAAAAAAAAAAAAAGATTTTATTAAAACGTAATTTTATTTCTCCCTCTCCTTCTTCTTCTTACTTTCGACGTCAAATCGAATATTTTTTCTAATTTTGTCGTTTCACTTCCGGTTTTCGAACCATCGTTATCACCCAAAACAATATTGACCAAACAATATTCCATTAATGCCATGAAAACAAAACTGAAAGAGAAAAATTTATTAGATTTAAAATAAAATATTATTATTATGGTTAATTTTGGGGGGGGGGTACGTACACGGTGCAAACGGACATGAAACCATCGACGGCTTTCAAATAAGAAACCGGTGGTAAAGCAGCTTGAGATTTAGCATGTTGCGTTGATAATGTCAACAATGACGTCACACCCAACGTGACTCGTGCCGGTGCTGCTTCCGGTTTTATCCAAAACGATACCCACTTTTAAAAAACGATTAAAAATGAAATTAATAAGGATTTAATTGATTGATTGATTGATTGATTGATTGATTAATAATAATAATTACCGACATGATGACGATCAAACAAGCTGGAATGTATGTGTGAAATAAATAATAACCCAAACGTCTTTTAAGTACGAAAACGACTTCCAAACAAGTAAAATTACCCGTCGAATAAACTTGAGTGCAATCCGCCGTGTAATTTCTTATCAGTTGAAGTTGTGGGAGTTCAATGTTTTCATCCACGACCAAAGGTACGTCCGGATCCCATTGAAATATCAAGTCTTCCGTCGTGTGAGATACTGCGAAAAACAAAAATGAGTACTCACGCACTCACGCACGCACACGCACACACGTAGAGGGAAAATTACTCACGACTTTCCATTTGAAGTTTACATTCTTGCGTATCGTGTGGATAAATTAAAAAATTCATGGCGCAAGAAAGTGTAAGGGTAAGTCTTAAACGGAAAAAAATATTTATAATTTTTTTTTTTTTTTAATTAAAACAAACAAACAAACAAACGACAAACAAACTCACTTAACCATATATAAAATAGTTTTATCTTTATACAACCAAACGTAATGATTTGGAATTGTCATTGTTTGAAACGTAACAGCTTTTGCATTTTTAAAAAACGAATCCGGTCTCCACATATTTTTCAACCATTCAACTTCCAACAACCTAAAATCATCATCATCATCATTATTATCATTATTATTATTA